TGTGATAATAGCAGTACGAAATACTCCTACCCTACCTATCCTACCCTACCTATCCTACCCTACCCTACCCTACCCTACCCTACCCTACCCTACCCTACCCTACCCTAACCTACCTTACCTTATCCTACCCTACCCTACCGACCTTATCCTACCCTACTTTAATATATCTTGCCATATCCTACCCTAAGGCCAGGGCAAGGCCAGAGCAAGGCCAGGGCAAGGCCAGGGCAAGGCCAGGACAAGGCCACCGCAAGAAAATTACTGTAGATTAGCAAGTTTTGCCTATTGCCATTTCCAACAAACATCATTCCCAACGCAAGTCCATTTAACAACGACGTAAATTTAATCGGATATGTTTGTATTGTTTTGAAACGTTTGTGAGGGTGAGCGGCTTTTTTGCACCAATGAACAATTCATTGATCACCAGGGCAAAGAATGAACAACTTTTACTATACTTCTAATGGGCTTATCACAGTATAAATGTACATACTATAACTGTAAACAATTTTTTGTGGAATTACAATACTGTAATCAAAGAACATAGTAACAATGATTACGGCGGGCTAGAGTTTCAGGGCTAAAGGCTCTGGGCTATGGCTTTCGGGCTAAGGCTCTAAGCTAGGACTCTGGGTTAGTGTTCTCGACTAGGGCTCAGGCTCAGGGCTCGGGGCTCAGGACTCTGGGAATAGGACTCTCGTCTCTGGGCTAAGGTTCAGGGCTCAGAACTAGGGCTCTGGACTAGGACTCTCCGCTCGGACTCTGGGCAGGGACTCTGGGCTAGAGCTAGAGCTAGAGCTAGAGCTAAAGCTAGAGCTAAAGCTGGAGCTAAAGCTAGAGCTAAAGCTGGAGCTAAAGCTAGAGCTAAAGCTAGAGCTAGCGCTAGATCTAGAGCTAAGGCTAAAAAACATTCGTTTCTTATGTTTGTAATACAGGTGCTACAATAACATGTTTATGCCAACTGATTGACCTAAAAACAAGTCGAAAGTCACTCTTTCTAAAGTTCGCTGTTTCCAAACACTTCAAATACTATTTAAGGTTTTGAAGCTACAAAAAAACTGTGAATGTCGCAGAAAAGTCACGAGCTCTATTCAAATCTCTCCAATATGCATACAATTTTTTGTAGTCGAATAAAAATAAAAAAGATGTAATCGGTAACATTTGCTGTTGGTTTGAAGCCAAAAGATTAACTTTGATTTTATGTAAATTATTTAAAAATGTATTTAAAAAAACTGTATCTACAGTAATAAAGCACCTTCAACAACAAAAAACTTTTTCAAATTAGGAGGCCCCCCCCCCAAAAAAAAATTCGAAAAATGTTGAACGTGGTCCCCCTGTGGATTATTGGAAAAAACTTTTTCGACCCCCGCCGCATGCCAAAAGTCCTCGTTTCTACCCATTCTTCTAAAAGCAAGCACTCAAAACCTAAAAACAACCTCATGCAAACCTTGCTGCGTTAGTAGCGCAGTGGCTGTGGCGCCGCTCGCTATTCGGAAGGAGCTTGGTTCAATCCCGCGCCCCCCAACCGAGGCGTCTTGAGGAATGGGTAGTGCTAAGTGCACGAAGGCTAGGCACATCTATATTTGGCCTACATGAGTATATGATTGAATGCCAGAATACTTACGGAGTACCTCAATGACGTATGACTGAACACCAGAAGTCTTATAGAGCACCTCACCCACGTATGATTGAACACCAGAAGTCTTATGGAGCACCTTGCTGACGTATGATTGAACGCCAGAAGACTTATGGAGCACCTCACTCACGACTCAGTGACGCGAGTAACAGTGAAATACCTGGGGAGAGGTCCAATTATGGGAAACGGCAGACTCAAGAATAGCTACGTTGGTCTTCATCTGAACCTTGAACATCCTTGCACAAATCAGGCCTAAGTTTAACCTTAAGCTCAGGCTTACAACTTCAATAAACCATTTTTAAAATTCCTTTCATGTATCCAGACCTCAAGTCGGCTATGTTGCTTCAAGTGTGTCATTGGGGAGGGGCAGGGTATTGTTGGTGGTTGAATAAAATTTATTTTGAAATGGGCACTTGAAGAAGAAGAAATGCTGCGGGCTTTCCCCTCCGGGTATTCAATTCGAAAAAGTGGATCTTGGGCTTCCGCGAAGATTTCGGGCCGCGCGTGACCAAAGGCGGGTGTTTTCGGCCGCAAGTTGCATCTTTTTTTTGTTTTGCCGCCAAAGCATGGGTTAACTTTTTGTTTGTTTTCGGCCTGATTTTGTAAAGCCGAGGCTATTCTTGGGCGTGTTGGACTAAAGAAACTATTTTTGGGTGCCTCTGGGTTGTTTTGGCTACTTTGTTCAAGGGTTGATTAGAACAAAAGTAGGGGATGATTTTATGTCTTGTAAAGAAAGTTTTTGCCATTATTTGCTTTGTAAAGAAAATTCTTGCATTTTTTTATTTTTGTAAAGAAAGTTCTTGCCATTTTTTGTTTTGTAAAGAAAGTTCTTGCCATTTTTTGTTTTGTAAAGAAAGTTCTTGCATTTATTTATTTTTGTAAAGAAAGTTCTTGCCATTTTTTGTTTTGTAAAGAAAGTTCTTGCCGTTTTTTGTTTTGTAAAGTAAGTCTTCGTCATTATTTGCTTTGTAAAGAAAGTTGTTGCATTTTTTTATTTTTGTAAAGAAAGTTCTTGCCATTTTTTGTTTTGTAAAGAAAGTTCTTGCTATTTTTTGTTTTGTAAAGAAAGTTATTGCCATTTCTTAGCCATAAAACATAAATTTATAGTCCTGCAGGCTGCGGTGCACATATTATACGTTGGAAAAGGCTAGACTCGTGTTTCAGTTTAAGCTAGTTTCTGAATCTCTGCTCATTATTTGTTAGCGATGCCTGTTTCTTTTCTACAATAATTTATCTTAAAAAAAACACGAAATCGAATATTACCGGGGCGGGTAACTCTTCACAACATGACGAGCGTGAAATAACATTAGGGAGGTTGTTTTCATTTCGTTCGCTTCGAGTGTCCGCCGGATATAATTTGTTTCGCGTTTTTCGCAGACATTTGATTATTCACTTCGAGGAGCGAGGGGGATGGAACTGCATTCGTGAAGCAAACACGTACAGATGATTTCAGATTTTTTGTGTTTCCAGAAGGCGAACGGATGAGCTGGGCTCTTAGGCTTAAGGCTTAATAAGCATATGGTTAATAGGTTTAATATTGGTTGGCAAGGCTTTAGTAGATTGTAGCTTTGTAGTCTTACGTTTAGTAGGCTTACTTTTACTAGGTTTACGTTTTTTTGTAGGCTTAGGCTAAAAGACTTAGGCTTAGGTTTAGTAGACTTAGGCTTCGTAGGCGTAGGACTACCAGGCTTAGGCTAAATAGGCTTAGGTTTAGTAGGCATAGTCTTAGTAGGCATAGGCTTAGTAGGCTTAGGCTTAGTAGGCTAGGCTTAATAGGCTTAGGCTTAGTAAGTTTAGACTCGTTCAAAGCGGATAGACCTTAGTATTTTTGATGGCATTCTTTTTATGATCCTTTGCAGAAATTCAGATTCAAAATCCCAGCACTCGCAGTAATTTGTTGGGTCGTTTTACATCGAGGCAAGTGTTATATAAAACCATAAAATTACATAAGAAAACGTTGCGCAATAACATTTTTTGCAATTTCTCTTAGGCTATCTTGTTAAAACAAATCATTAGGTAATTGCACAGATATTTCTTATATCGTTCTTTTGAGTGGTGCGTTGTACATTATGATTATTAGGCTTTTTCTTTGTAGGCGTAAGCTTAGCTTCAGACTTAAGTTTATAGGTCAGCACTTAGGCTTAAATTTGGGGTTTGATTAGGCTTAAGCATAGGCTTTTAGTTAGGCTTAAATTTGGGCTTAAGCTCAGGCTTTTCATTAGGCTTTTACATAGATTTAGGTTTAGCTTGAGACTTAGATTAGACCTTAAGCTTAGGCTTTAACTTGGGCTTCTGTTTAGGCTTAGGCTTTTCTTTAAACGTAGGATTGACGTAAGATTTTGATTAGGCTTAAGTTTTTTAAGCGTAAGCTCAGTTTACGTTTAAAGGCCTAGCTTTAGTCTACTTAGGCTTATGGACAGACTTTTTCTTAGGCTTAGGCTTGGGCTTAGGTGTAAGTAACATGTTTTTTTGAATTTTTTAACGTTGTAAATAATGGTAAAAACTTTATTTAAATGATTCTGAGCACAAAAATTTAATTTTTTAATTTTTTTAATTAAAAAGATTGTTAATTTTAATTTTTTTTCAACTTTTGTTTCAAAAAAACACATTTTGTAAACATTTTTTGGGCATTTTTTATTCCGAAGCCTCAGGGCCCTCATTTGAAGCGCATCATTGAGAAATTGAGACGGATTTTTATCCGAAAATTGGAAAAGACGCCAAGAACGGAACGGCGCTTAACAAAGGCCAATTCCTCGACTTTCCAAGTGAAAATTCCAAAAATGCTACTACTTGGAATGTTAGGCTAGTTTTGCTTTTTGAAGTTAAAATGATTTTAGGCTTGGCAAACTTTTAGGCTTTGGTTTAATTAGCCTAGCTTTGTAAATTTAGGTTTAGCAGGCTTTGGTTTTTTAGGTTTGAATTTGGATTTTCACCTAATTTTAGGCTTAGGTTAATGTTTAGGCTTAGATTTATTCTTGGGCTCATGATTAGGATTACACTGAGGCATTGCTGGCTTAGATTTAGTAGACTTTCGGTCTTAGGTTTAATACGTTTAATTCTAGAAAAGTTAGGCTTAGTACGCTTCGGCTTAGCAGGATTACACTTGTTAGGCTTAGATTTAAGCGCATGCTTAAACTTAGCTTACGCTTTTGTTTACGCTTAAGAGTTTTATGTTCACAATTAGTAAGTCTAGGCAATAAAATTACTGTATTTATGCATGCTTTGACGTTTTTAAATTTACCGTGTGAAGCGTTACGTTTCCTATTTTACAATCTTATTATTCTTGAATACTTTTCAGTTAGTCATCCTTACAAAGACAACAATCATATAGGTCTAGTAACAAGTAAAGCAAAACGTTGTACGAGTAATGGTGGAAGGTGGAGTGACTTTAGTCAAATACCTCTTGTTTCTTGCCAATTTTATTCTATGGGTAAGTTCATTTTTCAATTTACCCTACCCTACCCTACCCTATCCTACCCTAGCCTACCCTACCCTACCCTACCCTACCCTACACTACCCTACCCTACCCTACCCTACCCTACCCTACCCTACCCTACAATACCCTACTCTACCCTACCCTACTCTCCTCTAAACCTCCTTACCGTATCCTATCCTACATCTCAGCACAGCTCATCCCAGCCTAGCCCAATTCAGCTCAACCTAGTCCAGCTTAGCCCAACGTAGTAAAGCATAGCATGGCCTAGCTCAGACTAACTCGTAATTAAATTTTTCCAGGTATGTGGCCTAGGCCTAATCATAACCGGAGCGGTGTTACAACTCAAATACACGGGTCTGTTAGACATTTTGGGCGATGAACGGCTAGCGACACCGGTTCTTCTGCTTGGAGCCGGCTGTGTTTGTGCTCTGTTAGGCTTCCTCGGGTGTTGCGGAGCGATCCGCGAGAACTATTGCCTCACCGTGAGCTTCGCCATTCTATTGGCGTTACTGTTGCTGACGGAAACGGCGGCCGCAATAGCGGCGTACGCGCTTCATGAGCCGCTACATGAAGCGTTGATCAATCAACTTACTCAGGTTGGTTTTAAATTTAAACAAAATTAGGCTTAGAGGGGTCGGAATGGAATTTCATGGTTTAGGCTCGACGAATATTGATTTAGATTTGCAAAACTTTTTTTTATATTTGATATGTTAGGTTTGGGCTTAGGCTTAGTTTTAGGTTTAGGCGTAAGTTAAGTCTTAGGTTTTAGGCTTAAGCTTAGACTTAGTCTTAAGCTTAGGCTTAGGCTTAGGCTTAGGCTTAGGCTTAGACTTAGACTTAGGCTTAGGCTTAGGCTTAGGCTTAGGTTTAGACTTAGGCTTAGGCCTAGACTTAGGCTTAGGCTCAGGCTTAGGCTTAGGCTTAGGATTAGGCTTAGGCTTAGGCTAAGGTTAGGCTTAGGCTTAGGCTTAGGCTTAGAGTTAGGCTTAAACAAAGACGCAGGCTGAGACTTAGGCTTGTTCTTTATATTAGGTCTAGGCTTAGACTAATTCTTAGGCTTAGGCATAGGCTTATTCTTAATGTTAGGTTTCGGCTTTGACTAGTGTTAGGTTTAGGCTTGCTGCTTTTTTAAATACAAAATTTTTTAAAACGCCTTCAGGGCCTTGAAAACTACGACAAATCGCGAGGCGTGGCAATGGCGTGGGATCAAACGCAACGCGAACTCGAGTGTTGTGGTGTGAACAACTCCACCGACTGGTCGACGGTACCAGACTCATGCTGCACTCATTTTCATGTGGGGTGTGCCAAGATGGCAGTACCTTCATTTCATGAAGCCGGCTGTATTCAAGCGGTTCAGAAGTGGATTCTCACCAATGCTGCCATTGTTGGTGGTATATCGGCCGTGGTTGGGGCGGTTCAGATTATTGGGATTTGCTTTGCGTGTTGTTTGTCTAAAAGCATTCTGAAAGATTATCACGACTATTTTTATTGATTTTTAGGTTTTTTACGCAACTTTTCAAATTTTAGGTAATATTTTTTGATTTTTTAAAATTTTTATATTTAGTGTTATACTTGCAATGTTTGTTCAGTCTCAAACTATATGAATTCTTGCCAGTTTTTATTTGATTCATAGACGTTGCTAATAGGTGGGGGTGGGGTGAATTTGCAGCTCTTGCTCTGTTTCCCTTCCCTAACCTCTTACTTTTTTAAATTTTTTCTTTTGCTACTACAATATAATACTTTTATTGTCATTACTACGCATATTTTTCACAATATACAGTAGACTTTGTTATGTTATAATAAAATCCCCTTCTTCCCCCTACTAAAGTCGCCCTGCAGCCATTCCTTAAAGTTGCTTCTGACTACAGGGTGCGCCAAAAGTTCTGATACACGATTTTGGAGTTATTTTTCCTTTTATTATGTAATTTGATGACGATAGCCCTCATGTTTGACATCTAAATACAGACAGACGGTAGACAATGAAGACTTAACTGATGATTATACAATAAAAAACACGGAGAATAAGTTAAAATAAAAAATTTTAAATTATTTAACCGCAACTTAGAGAAAACGACCGGTAAAGTTTTGTAACAAAACTTTTGGCGCGCCCTGTAGAGAAAACGACCGGTAAAGTTTTGTAACAGGGCTTTTGGCGCGCCCTGTAGAGAAAACGACTGGTAAAGTTTTGTAACAGGACTTTTGGCGCGCCCTGTAGAGAAAACGACCGGTAAAGTTTTGTAACAGGGCTTTTGGCGCGCCCTGTAGAGAAAACGACTGGTAAAGTTTTGTAACAGGACTTTTGGCGCGCCCTGTAGAGAAAACGACTGGTAAAGTTTTGTAACAGAACTTTACCCATTTATCCCCCCTCCCTCTCTCCCCTTTCCTTGCTCTTTTTCTCCCTATTCCTCTCTTCTTTCTCTGTTTTTCACTCTCTCTCTCTGTGTTGACTATAACAAAAAGTTACTGCATGTTGTACTGTCACCTCAAATGATCTCTTCCTTGCTTTTTAATCAACTTATTCTAATTTGTAATGAATTTCAAGGCTTTTAACTGTTATAAAATGTCATTTTCTTGCAATAAACTAAAACAAAAACGACCGGTATGATTGTCAAATGATGTTTATTATAAGTATATAAAGGTATGTAGATTGACAAGCTTAAAACTGATTAAAAAAGTAACAACAACATTAAAACACTCATTGAAATTTGTCGCAAATGTCCTTCAAATCCTGCAAACCACCATCAACAGCACATTCACACCACCTTTTCGGCACATTAACCTTGTTCACACAAGCCTTGGTATCAGCAATCAAAGTCCGTTCGTCAGGCAGTTCTAGCGTGCAGTCCAGTCTAGCATCACAGTTGGATGTGGCCATATTCAAGCACAGCTTGATGCAGTTCTGATACTTGGTCAACTTGGCATTCAGGCGATTCCATTGAATTAAAACCCCTTTGGCTGCCATATCTTTTGAAATTTCGTTCATAAAGTTGGCTTTGATCAGTTCGGTGTGACGTTTTGGCAGTTTTTTAGTCGATACCTCTTTACTGCAACTGTCACTGTAAGTGGATTCGACGCACTGAAAGGTTTCGTTGACATGAGAGCCAAAACTTGTGGCACATTCTTTGATTTTGTCCACGTTTATGCCAGCTTTGACGGCAAAGCGCTGAAAAAATCAATATTTTGTAAAATTTAAAAGAAAAAATTTTAATTTTTGAAAAAAAATTAAAGGTTGGGATTAGGTAGGGTAAGATAAGGTAATATAAAGCAAAATAGAATTGGAGCTAGAGCAGAATAAGACAAGATATTTAGAATAAGATAGGGTGAGGAAAGGTAAGATAGAGTAAGATGCAGTAAGCAAAGTTAAGATAAGGTAGGACAAATTAAGGGAGGATAAGATAGGGTACAATAAAAAACGGCGTTTAATTACCCAATTCTTAATTTTGAAAAAAAAATCCATTTTAATACCCCAATAAGTCTTGTCGTTTTTGTCAATGTAAATCAATAAAAATTGACGACAAGACTTTTTTCAGCATTTTTATATAAGAAATAAATAGAAATGGCATTTTTGTATTCCAAAATTACTTTTTTAAATAAAGAAAGTCGTATAAACTCGAAAAAAGTCTTGTCGTTTTTGTCAATGAGAATCAATACAAATTGACGACAAGACTTTTTTACGTTACTTTTAATAAAAAATCAATAAAAATGACCTGGAATCTGCTAAAAATTAGCTTTTCTGATTAAGAAAGTAATATTATACTCAAACAAAGTCTTGTCGTTTTTGTCGATGTAAATCAATAAAAATTGACGACAAGACTTTTTTGTCGAAAATCAATAAAAACGACATTTTCGTGTCGCAAAATTAATTTTCCAAATAAAAAAATTAATAGTAAACCCAAAAAAAAGTCTTGTCGTTTTTCACTGTTCATATCAATACAAATTGACGACAAGACTTTTTTAAATTTATAAATCCCTTTTTTAAATTTTTTCTGGCTTTTTAAACTTAAAAGTTAAGCTTTTCATATTAAAAAGCTTTTTAAATTGAAAAAATGGATAAAAATAAAAAAGTACTTACCTTGCACTTCTCAGCGCACGGTGCGATATTGTCAAGGTAGGCTTGACGACAAGGCTCGACCTCAGAGCACATACATTTCCTGACCAGTTGGGATTTGGTTACAGAGGCGTAGGTCAAGAAAAGCAAACTTTTGACAACAAAGTTGGAAAACATTTTTTTTATAGGTATAGGGTATAAGTACCTACTATAATATAGCTATAACTATCTACTATAAGATAAATAATCGCTAGGTACAACAAGTTCTAACTACTACAAGATAAAGAATGGCTAGATAAAGCAAAATCAAGGGTATTTATACCTGCTTTGTTGTAGCCAAACAAAGCAAAGATCTGCCTTAAACGCCCTTTTCTTAACCTATATCAACACTTGAATCTCGCGCTTAACCAGCTTTTACAAAGCTGCACGTAGCTTTGACTTATGGTGATCGCGCCATAATTTATTCTAAAGCAATAGGTTGATCTTTGATATATTATTCCTTTGTCAGCTATGTGCTATATAAATAGCTAACACAACATGATTTAAAAGGTCTGTAAAACGCGTTATTAATGTAGTTTTTCTTCGACCCTAGCCCAGAGCCCTAGCCCAGAGCCCTAGTCCAGAGCTCTAGTCCTGGTCTTAGCGCTGGTCTTAGCGCTGGATCTTGTCTTGCTTAACTTTTTCTTTATCCTGACGTTTCCCTTCCCTTGGCGTGATTTTGCACTTGGTCTGACCTAGATTTTTGCCTGGCTTTGAGCTGGCCTTGCCCTTGGTGTGGTCTCGTTTTTAGTCTGGCGTTTATTCTGGCCGCGGTCTGGACTTGCCTTTGGTCTAGCTTTAATTTTGGTCTAGCCTAGCATTTGGCCCGATCTTGCCCTTGGCCGGATCTGGTCCAGGTTTTGACCATGGCTTTGACCACGGCCGGGTCTTTCCTTGGTTTAATCTTGCCTTTGGTCTAGTCTTGCTTTTAGTCTGGCCTGCCATTTTTGATGGGCTTTCAGAATCTGTAAAACTCCGGTACTTTATTTGAAAAACCCAATAATATAAGTTTTGTTAACTATAACAGCAACCACTTAATCCCCGTTCAAACGCCTGTCCTGTTTTGCCGTGCCTCAATATACCGATAAATACTATAATCTCCAACAAGATAAACACCGATTGTTTAACAAAGCATCACTTCATTCGAATAAAACATCAAAAAATTGATAAAAAAAAGGTAAAAATAAAGGATTCTAAACAATAAAATTGATGAAAAAACAAAAATACAATTGAATTTTTACAATCAAGGCCTTTACTAGGCTCTTGAAGACAACTATGATACATTATTTGACATTGACCGAATAAAAATTTTCGAATTTCAGTACAATATCAGGTTTGATTGTGGTCTCTACCACAAGACTTAAGACACTGTGATAATGTCTTTCGAGGAGAAGAATGGTACTGGAGGAGAAGAGTGGTACTGGAGGCAAAGAATGGTACAGGAGGAGTAGAATGGTACAGAAGAAGAAGAATAGTACTAGGGGCAAAGAATGATACAGAACGTTAAAGACCAAGTAAATAGTACAATGTTAGTATCCGAAACAGTACAAAATTTTGCAAAAAATGTTACAGTAACCTATTAAGGAATATTAGTTACAGTACAAAAAACAGTACGAAATACTGCAAAATAAAGTTACAGTAAGAAAACCCTGTGAAATCAAGCAAAAACAAAGAAAAATACAATAAAATCCAATTACAGTAATAAAAATTATAATAAGGTTAAACTACAGTAAGAAAAATTACAGTAAGACTAAGTTACAGTAAGAAAAAGCATAGAATTGAGTTTAAAAAAACAAATTACAGTACTACTGAGTTACAGTATGAAAACGTACAATAAAACCAAGTAACCAAATTACAGTAGGGAAAACTACTGTAAAACTGAGTTACCGTATGAAAAACATGGTAAAGACACCGTTATACACTTTTAATAGTTGATTAAAATTTTCGAAAAAAAAACCACACCCTCAGGCATGAGCAATATAGAGGTTATCAAGATCCCTCTCTCTCCAGGCCCCCCACACACACACAAGCCCATGATACCTGCTTTAAAATCACGGTAAGGCCAATATTAACCTACCTTAATATCAAAGAAATGATCAATCCTCACCCAATACCCACCTTATATCATTACCAGAGGAAGATCTACACTAATCTTACTTCATTACCAAAGAAAATCAGAAAAGATCCATCTTCACCTACATTAATATCAAAACAGAACCAATTTCCAAGCAAAAATCACTCCAACAGATCGACAGCCCTTCCAAAATACAGCAATTTATACAATTTTAACTCGATAAAGAGTCTATGAACAATAACACTGGGTCCAAATAAACCAACATTAGAGACTGGTGGGGTCAAGAAGTAAAGAGAACAAGGCTTTTCGGGTCGGGAAGACATTTGGAGTCGGTAACAGGACTTTTGAAGCCATGAACAAGACTTTTTAAGTCCAGAACGTGACTTTTAATGTCAAGAACAAAACTTTTAGAAGCAAAGGATACAAAGAAAAAAAATTCTCGAAACTTTTTGACCCCACCAGTCATATTCTTCAACCCTCTTGGCTCTATCAACTTGTTCAAAAACTCCTGAGCCGCTAACCCTGCAAATTTACTTTGAGAAATGGCGCAGCACTTTTTGAACAACCTGATAGAGCCAAGAGACTTGAAGAAGACAATCGGTAAAAGGTCAAAAAGTTTCGAGAAAATGACTTTTAAGTCTAAAAAAGACTTTTCAATTGAAAAATAGAATTCTAGAATCAAAAAGTCTAGGACGACGAACCAGAAGAACATCAGTACAATCATAACTTATGCGTCATAAGTAGTGTTACACCGATGAAAGAGGTGACAAAGACACTTTGAATAGTATTTATAATACAACCAATATTCAAAGAACAAAAGGTTTTGATGTTATTCAACTTTGAACAGTCTTATCGTACTAAATCTTAGCTATTTTGATCAAAAATCGACCAAAAAAGTCATTTATTAGCCAAAATTCTACTTAAAATGTCATTTTCTAACCAAAATTTTACCCAAAATGCCATTTTTAACAACCTCTTCATCCATTTTTCTCAAGATTTCCTCAAAAACAGCATAAAAAGCTTAATAATATCCTTTTCAAACATTATTCTAAGCCTTATCCTCTACTATAACATATTCAAAGCCCTTGAAACCCAGTCCGAACTGACTCAAAATCCAGTCCAACCTTACTCAAAGCAAGTATATTCAATACAAAACACATTATATGCAAGTAAACCCATTCAACAGTTGAATAACATCGCAAAAAAATTAAAGAACAATGACAAAACACTTCAAGAAATAGGTAGTATTGGTTGATTCTGACAAAAAAAATGAAAAAACGGGCATCAGATATACATCTTCACATCGTCAGTGTGCTAGGTACACCAAAGAGGGAGGGAGAGGGTGTGCAGATGGGGCTTAGATTCGTTGAATCTTCTCCGACACCACCACCGGGTTGTTCTTGCGCAGCTCCTCGCGTTCCAAGGTTTTGTAGTCGAATTGACAGTCGTGAGCCGAGTCGTAGCGATGTTCTCCACAATATAACCCGCCGCAGCGGCATGGGAATCCTGAAACGATGAGGAATTAAGATGGATAATATAAATTTAGGTCGAGATTTCAAAAAACTGAGCTAAAACATCAAAATTTGTTTGAAAATCGTTAGCTAAAACAACAGAGCTTCTTTCAAAACTCTGTTTTTCTAAATATCAAGTTCTCAAAGTCTTGTCGTCAGTTTACATTAACTTCCAGCACAAAAGACGACAAGACTTTTCTGCTATTAAAGTATAACATAAACTTTGAAATCTCGTCATTTTTCGAACAAAAATCCTCATATTATTCAACAGAAAACAACATTTCATTCGTTAAACATCATCTTTTCAACAAAAAAAATATTATCCATGTTATTCACAACAGCATTCTCTTTTTCATGTTATCCATCACAACATTCCCGAAACCTCAAACCTAAACACAAAAACACATGTCTAAAGCACACTCACCTGTAAGTCCGACCCGTTTTTTGCACACCTGACAGCGGTTGGCCTTTTTCACACCGACCGACGCTTCGGGCATCGAAGTGCTTGGTCCTTGTTCCGAAACCTGCGTCACTAGCGAGGCGGCGGAGCTGAAATTTCAAAGGGTTAGTGGAAAGAAAGTTATTGCCTTTCTTTATCTTTTACAAGATTTTCTTGTTATTTCATAGATCACTAAAAAAGATACGGCCATATTGGCAAGAACTCTCTTTATAAAAAGAGTTATTACCATTTTATGGCTTGTAAAGAAAGTTCTTGCCATTTTAAAATTTAAAAACGATCGAAAAACCTTCTCTATACTTATTTACTATCTAACCATGAAATTGACCCGGAAAACCTCCCAGAAACTATTCAAAAACAATCAAAAACCTTCTCTATACCTACTACAATATATTATACAACAAAACCTCGGCTTACCTTGAAGATGAAAGGCTGGGAGATTCAATTTTGAGCGATGGAGCACCAGCAGCCATGCTCGCTTCCGGCACTGAGGACGAGATTTTCGAGGCGTTCGCCACGGCCGTCTCGAACTGAGCACTGAGGTCGGCATTGTGAGCTTGGGCAACAACTTCTCGCAGTTTGTCCGCTACTGACTTTTCGGCTGAAAGATTGAAAGGTTAAGCATTTAAAAGATGAAATTTGGCTAGAATGATACCTAAACCTTAGCAAAACGGCAAAAATCGGCCGAGAATCGATAACAACATCAACATCAGCCTCTTCTCCTCAAAAAATCCTCGTTTTAAACCTAAAACAACAAAAACAAAACTAAAAATCCTTACCGGCTGGACTAAGACGACCCGTATCCTGCTTCTTTTTGATGCTGTCCTTGAAGCACTTGGAACATAACCCTTCAGTCGCCGATGACCCGTAGAAACCACAACCGGCGCGACACAACGAAGTTGTTTGCTGCTGATTCTCCATTTCTTCCTCTCGTGTGTGTGTGTTTTATCGATCAGTGAGTGGCCGTGAACGGACTGAAAAACAAAAAAATTTGATTACAAATTAATTTTCGTTTCGAAAGGTTTTCGCGGTGTTACACATTGGGAAAGTCACGTGAATAAGCTTATGGGGAATATTAAAGTTTAAACTTGGTCAAATGTTGGGAATATGATTGATAAAGAAGCTAGGGGCTTATATCAGTCTCTACTAACAATTAAATTCAAAAACGTTTAGTTTAACACCAAAAAATTAAAGGAACATCAACTGGTCTACATCAATATAGTTTGAAATGAAAACCCAGACATTTCTCAAAGTTTTCAAAAGAAAATTGATTGGTAAGGGTTCTAAAGACCATGATAATGTATTTTCAATCAATAACAGTCCAAAAGGTTAACTTCAAAAACCAAAAAAATCGAAATTATCAACCTTTCACCATAGATAACATCCACTAATATTTATAAAGTCAAATGACAAAGCAACCTTTGAAAGAAAACTTAGAGATTATATTAACATCTTTTCTTATTTGAAGCACATAAACTTTGTATTCAAAACCTTAAACACGAGCTTCGACTGAACTACATCAATGTCCGATCATAGATAATATTCGAGCTCCAGCTGAAGCAAGACGAAACAAAATGAAAGAGAAAACATTGACAAACTTTTACTAACCTCTCTTACATAATGACGCCAAAAACAAACTTAAAAACTCCGCTACAACAATATAAAACCACGATTTTTATACGTAAAACGCCAAAAAGTCGATGAAAACTCATTTTTTACAACATTACACTGCTTGTTCTCAAGTGTAATATAGTTTTAAAGGTTCTCTAAATACTTTTCGAATCGATAAAACCAATTTGGACGTCTTACACCGCTGTAACGCCAAGTATAACATCGAAAAAAGGCGTTTGTGCTTTGAAAACGCCGTTTTTGGCCTGGAAAATCGAAATTTCCGGCATTTCTTGCCATTTTTGATTTGAGAAAAATATAAAAATCGAAAGTACAGACATTTCTCAACATTTTTTGATCTTCAAGTCCTGGAAAGCGACAACCATCAAGTGAGAAAATCGATTCTTTCCAAAGCAATCGATGATTTCGCGGCAATAAACAATTTCCCCAACTGCGAACTGCGTGGACATCTTATACGATGAATTGTTTTTCAATAAATTGAGAAAAACAAAATTTCCAATACTGTTTTCATTTCGATATTAAAAGTGATGTAATTTCTCGAACATTCGGGAATATTCGTGGATTTCAAAAGGGTTTTAGAGAAATCAATTGATAAAAGTGGGGATGATAATATAAAAGGGAAGTATTGATAAAGCTATGGAAATTTAGGTGAAGAAACAGAGACAGAAGATAAAAAAAACATTTTTATGGCCTAGAAAGTCAAAATAACCCAAAATTTTTGAATTTTGAAAAAAAGTTTTAATTTTTTGCACGGTGCAGTCTTTTAATGTTGCACGGTGCAGTCTTAAATGATTTGCACGGTGCAGGAATCTTTTAGATATAAAGAGTCAAAAATTTAATTCCAAAACACCTAAAATGTATTGTATATGTAGCTGCTAACTATAAATTAACCTTTTAGGCTACAATACATTTAAAATGGCATTTTAAAGCTATAAATCTTCAAAAAAATTGAATTTTCAGCTTGTTTTGTAGTCTTTAAGGCTACAAAACCTACTAAAACCCCTTTGGCAAAGGGAAAAACCTTTTAAAAATATATTGCCAAGTTAAGAAACTACCTAAAAACACTTAGTCTAGCTACGAAATTTCAGTCTAGACCAAAAAGCTTTCTTAAAATCACCTCGTCAGGCTACAAAACGTTCCAAAAACTGTCATTTGAGACCAAAAACCCCAACCAAAAGGCCTTTCCAGACTACAAAACGGGCCAGAGAAGCTGTGTTAGGCCTAGAAATGTTTAAAAAATGCCATGCCAAGCCAGAACACATTCTATAAATGACTTGTTAGCCAAAAAAACCTACTTATAATTTCAGTCTAGACTACAAAATTGCTTGAAATCCCCTCTTCAAGCTACAAAACGTGCCAAAAACAGCCTTTTCAGACCAAAAACCCCGGCCAAAAAGCATTGCCAGATTACCAAACGGGCCAGAAAAGCCATGCTAGGCCTAGGAATGTTCAGAAAATGCCATACCAAGCCAAGCCAAACCAAAAAATCTTAAAAAAATGCCATGCCAAAAAAAAAATTTTTAAAAAAATGCGATGCCAAGCCAAAAAAATGCCATGCCAACTCAAAAAATCTTCTATAAATGACTTATCAGTCAAAAACTCTCTATAAAAAGGGCTTATCAGACCAAAAACCCTCTAAAACCAGCCATTCCAGACCAAAAACCTCCACAAAACCGCCTTACCAAGCCAAAAATCCCCCAGAAACCTCCTTTCCAGACCAAACACCCCAGCCAAACCGCATTGCCAGACTACAAAACGTCGGGAAAAATCGATTTTCAGGCTAGGAATAGTCGACAAGTAGACTGGTGGTGGAAAAACTCATGACTATCGACCCGACTTGCTCCCTTCAGCCCCCCCCCCTCTTCCACAGGACCCATTGGAGAGAGAAGGGGCGAGGCGAGCAGGGGGGTAGAGAGCGGCGGCGACGGCGGGGCGACTGCAAACGAGTCCGTTTTTTTTTCGTCATTTTTTGGTTCGGGGGGGGAGTAGACGAGCGGAGAGAAAGAGCCCTCTAAGCGTCTGGTTTCCCCATTCCGTACTAGTCTGTTTGCGTGTGGGGGGGGTGCTTGTCGGCGGACGGGGCATTTATTTTCCTCGCGGGCAAAAAAATGTGACGGGGGGTATATTCGTTTTGTTAGGGGAGTGTGAAGGGTGGGGGGCTTTTGTCATCAAAAGGAAACACATGACCCTGCGATTAGAGAAAAAAGAACACATGACCCCGGCGATTAGAGAGAAGAGAACATATGACCTATTGGAGACTGCAAAGAAAGAACACATGACTCAGAAATTAGTTAGAGAAACTCAGCGATGAGATAGAGGAAAACACATGACTCAAAGAAAAAAAACGTTTTATCATCAAAAAGTAAAACTTGGCTCATTGAGGAGACAGAAGAGAACACATGACCCAAACATGCTTTTGGAGAAACACATGACTCAACCACTGAGCTAGTCCAAGAAAACAAAGATTTGGCCTTGTAAAGAAAGTAGCTTCGGTTTAAAAAAAACAACGATTTAAGCACCGCCTGATTAAAAAATTCAAAAAACACCCCCTAAATAAAAATCAAAAAAATTTACCCCTCCCTATAAAATTTGCAAAAAAATGAAAGACACGTCTCACCAAGCCTTCACATATGAAAAAAAATCGAAAAACACTCCTTAAAATAAAAATAAAAAAATTTACCCCGCCCTGAAAAATTTTCAAAAAAATAAAAAAACACATCCCGCCAATCGTTTAAATTTTGAAAAAAAGTTGAAAAACACCCCCTCCCCCTTTTCTACCACCCCTTAAATTTAAAAAAATCTCAAAAATTTACCCCACCCAAGCCTTCATTTTTCATCTCCCCAGCCCATCCTTAATTCCTTCCTACACCTTTTAAAAACCAAAAAACACCAGCCAAAAATTGAAAAGAATGCCAAAGGCGAAGTGGCAGTGCTGGGGCGTGCAAAGAGCGCTCGGCGTGTCATAATATTTGTGTTTTTACCTAAGGGCATGACAATTTTTCGTCTCGAAAACATGCATTCTTGTGCAAACAGCTAATTTGCAATTCAGCTGAAGATGGCTGTGATAAAAAAAATATAAATTTAGAGGATGTTTTTTGAATTCTTTTTACTTTAAAGGGTGGTTTTTGATTTTTTTAATTTTTAGGGGGTGGCACTTTTTAAAAAATGAAAAATGGCGTTTAAGCATTTTAATCTAAAGGGTACTCCACCAAAATAAATTTTTTTTTAAAAACCGCAAGAACTTTCTTTACAAAGCTTTAGAATGCATTCATCGTATAATTTGTCACCCGCAGGCTGCGAAACATAACTTTTTCCGATTTTACGTAAAAATGGTAAGAACTTTCTCTACAAAACAAATTTTTTTGGAAAACCGCAAGAACTTTCTTTACAAAACGAGATGTTTGAAAAACCGCAAGGACTTTCTTTCCAAAACGATATTTTCGAAAAACAGCAAGAACTTTCTTTACAATACGTTATTTTTTAAAAAACCGCAAGAACTTTCTTTACAAAACAAGATTTTTGAAAAACCGCAAGAACTTTGTTTCCAAAAACGAAAAATTCACACATTTTCCAAGCTCTACTCTAATATTACGATCCCCAACCTCTCCCCTCTACCCATAAAACCGTAAAAATCAAAAGTAATTGCAACAAAAACCTGCCTGTAGGCGAGACTAAAGCCGTCGAGAGTTGGAGGCTCTCCCCTTTTACCGCGCTGTAATAGGGAGTGCTGGTTGTAAAGAGCAGGCAACAACCAAAACCGACCGCACCGGCGTAGTCCAGCCAAAAATAGTGGGTTTTTGAATTTTTTAAAATTAAAAAAAAAATTTTTTTTGAAATTTGAAAAAAGCTGCCAAGACAAAGAAAAAAATTTTTTGTAAAGGAAGTTTTTGCGGTTTTTAAAAAAATGAGTTTTGTAAAGAAAGTTCTTGCGGTTTTTCAAAAATTGAGTTTTGTAAAGAAAGTTCTCGCGGTTTTTAAAAAAATGAGTTTTGTAAAGAAAGTTCTTGCGGTTTTTCAAAAAATGAGTTTTGTAAAGAAAGTTCTTGCCATTTTTCGTAATTTTGTCGTTTTTTGCCCCTATACCTCTATTTTACCCCCCCCCCTTCCTTTTTAATTTTATCTTCCCCCCCCCTTTTTTTAATTTTATCCTTCACCCCCCTATCCCCCCCCCCTCTTTTTTTTATCTTCCCTCTGCCTTTTCACCCCCCTCCCCCCCCTTTTGTCTCTACCCCTCCCTCAGCATGTCCCCCCCCCCTTACAGATAAAACATACTCCCTACCCTCTGTTCAAAA